CTATATGATGAACCACGACGTGACCCTTATTGATCTCACCTATATGCTTATTGTTGCTAAATCAGCAATGGTTTGGCGCAATAGAAAAGCAAAGTTGATTGGTGAATGTGCCTTCAAGACCTCTATGGATATAGACAATGGCAATGAAAGACATGCAATGATCAAAAAGTTTGATCATAAGAGAAAGGCGATGTCTGAAGAAGTTCCATGTGTTGTTCCAAAAGAGTCAATTTGCTTTTATTGCCAATAGAAGGGGCATTGGAGACGAAGTTGCCCTATTTACCTAAGAGATCTAAGAGATGGGAGAGTCAAAAGTATGACTACGCTTCAGGTAAAATCCACTATCTAACTCCGTTAAGTTCCTATTCATTGATTCTTAATACATGATGTGATAAGATTACATTTGAATGTTTTGAACGATCGGTGAAAAGAAAGGAAGCTTGATAAGAGAGCAAGATGAATCTAATCACAAGAGATGGATCTTGATCGCATGGACTTGAAGATTGGATTTTGAGCTTAGATAGTTATGATAGAGTTGTTAGAAATTTTCCTTTTACATAGTTTTCAATAGATTTTTCATTGTAAGGACAAATGTTTTTCCGCTGCTTTTATAAATAAAATAAATTTTGTTTGACTTATTTATTTATTTGTTTACTTCCTTGCAATGAAATCGTTATGAAAATTGATGTTTGCATATTTCTACAACAAATGGATATGATTATTAGTTATGTTATTTATGGTAATGTCGAGAATTTACCAAATAGGGAGAGTTTCTCATTGCCAAAATTTCAATTGGACTGAAATTTGGAATCACGCAACTTGGTTGCATGATGAATGAGAAATTTCATATTTGGAAATTAGACAAATCCGTTGAAAAAGTATCAAGTGAAGGACTAGGAGATCGAGTACACAAAGTTGTGTGTTGATCAAGTTCACCATAAGAGTAACAAAGATATTCGTCATGATTTACTAAAGGCTTAGTAAATATGATTACACTTACAAGATTAAGTATAATTCGGAATTTATTAAAAGGGTTTAAATCAATAGCAAAACGAATAAGAATCAAGTAGGCAGAAAGATAAAAGTTTCTCCAATCTAAGAAGAAGGGAGAGTACCATTTATGCTTTATGATAGGACTTTATGATTAAGAACCATATCTCAATTGATCCTCTAAGTAAGTCTTAGTACAATTGTATGTTTAAGAAGAGGAATCAAGAATTGAAGAAATGGTTAAATCAAAAGTCAATCATACTTCGTTCCAATAACAAGTCTTAAAGTTAAGATTGTGACAATGAGTGAAAAGTATTAAAGGTTTATAACATTCATCAAATGTGGAAAGTTGTGATGTCTTGAATAAGACAAAGATTGACTAGGACCAATTTATGAAGTGTTTTGATAAAAACTACACTAACTCTTGAATATTTGTTTGTCAAGAAATGTTTATTGACAAAAGAATCTTATATGTCAAGGAGTCAGTGGGAGTCTTATTGGTCTGGAAAGGTTTCAAGAACAAATCAAATAAACCTTATCGATCATCACTAGCACACGAGTTGAGGTTTACAACCTATCGTGTTGACAATATTTTGATTTTGTGCTGTTCCAATTGAGTTAATTATGCATGTGATTCCTATGAGTTCTCATCTTGAACGCATAAAAGGCAAGACACCTTAATCAATGAAAGGTACATTGATAGGAAAAGGTGAGCTGCTTAACTACATGGAAGACATGGTGCGCATCTGTGCTACCATAAGGCAAGAAATCAAGATTAAAAAAAGGCTCGGTCCATATGAGTTTGAATTTGTCGTAAACTTTGGTTTTAACAAATTCACATGGATAGGAACAAATACACCATTTAAATCTAAGTGTCATAAGATTTCCTCCTTCATGAAAATGATTGTGACTTGTGAGGAAATGCTTTCACTAAGAAAGATTTTAAGAAGATAGTGATTGTAAAGTTGCATTCTCGAATTCAATTATGGTTACGGTATCCCTTTCCATAATTTGAATTTTGAGGTTTGGCAATTAGTCTTAATTGTTAAGACACACATATGAACTATCTAAGGCAAAGGTGTATAAGTTCAAGAAGCCTTGATAAAAGATTATCAAAGCACTAAGTATTAGAAACATGGACTTAAGAAATTCAATAGGTATTGTCTTTTTGAAAGATAAGATGTTTATGAATACATGTCGAAGCTAGTGGGAGCATAAGTGTTATGTTTTATAGTAATCATCATGATAGTGGGAGCATAAAAGTTATGATTGTATGATTATTATGGAAAGTATTGCAAGTTGGCAATATTAATTATAGAAAAACAAGAGTTATACCTTGCAAAGTCGTAAGGGTTGTAAAGTTGTTTTGCTATAATTAAGGGAGAGAATATTATGCTTCATTTCAAATCTAAAGGATTAGGTTGTGAAACGTTAATAGATTTAGTCAAAGGTACATAGTGTGTTCTTAAAATTTCGATTATGATTACGGAATTCCTCTTCACAATTCGAATTTTGAGAACATAGCAAATAAAACATTGTGCATCGTGTCCCATACGCTTCGGGTATAGGATCGATTGCAAATGCTTTAATGTTTGACCATTCTTAAATTTTCCAAATGTCTAGCGCATTTAGAGGGAAAAGGAACTAGAATCGGTTTTGACTAAAATAATTAAACAACTATCAAAGAACAATCCAAAGTTCGACGAGGATTGGTTGCTTGTGAGTAGTTGGAAGCATGGTATTAGATGGACCATATTGACATTATTATGAATAGATAAGATTCTATTAAGAATAAGTTGTCATATGGAAAATATGGAAGCGTGTCCATATTGGGAAGTAAATATTGAAAATCTATGACTAGATTAGAAACTTTTATGCAAAAGGATGTTCAAAGGAATGTACTTTGAGTGAGAAACATCATATCTAAGGAATTGTCTTGTAACAATCTCCGATAGAAGATTTTGTAACATCATTAGCAATAGTCTTTGTGACTTTGGTGCAGTGACATTACGAAAGAATCATTGCATAGAATGTTAGAATCTAGCATATTCTATAAGTAGCAAGAATTTTGATATTCTTTCACTTATGAAAAAGGATTTGGAGTTGTGAAATGAGAATGATTGGAAATGTGTCCAATGTGATCTATTTCACAAAGTAAGAACCATAGGTAAACATTGTGTGCATGCTAGGAGCATGGGACAAGTGTAATAATTCAAGTAAGAAGTTGATTACCCGAAACGACAAATAATGAGTAATCGATATGGTGATAAATAAAAGGAGTTTTATTTATACTCAAAGGGTTGAGGCCATATGGGATTAGTATTATTCTTAATGTTTCACTTTGCATGTTTTGACTTCCAGAATAATTGAGTTTATTAAGAATAATCGAATTATTCGAACGGGCCACAGTCGTTCATATGTTGGAAGTAGATATGAATGAAGACTGTCATGAATTGGTGTGTGGATTGTCTAGAAAAGTATTAGACATAAGCAAATGTTTGCTGCAACATTCATGAGTGCTTATGAATATGATTTGAGCATTGGATTAAACCCACGCTCACTTGGATCACTCCATGAATTGTATCACGAGTGATTGGTGAGACGATAACATCTTATATTCTTGAAACCGAGATGTGTGAGTTGTATCTTGCTAATCGGTTGCACATTGATAATATGTAAACGCACTAGTAACTTGGTGTTATAAAACATATTGTTGTGTGTGATTTGGTTATTAAGTGAAAGCAAACATTGTATCAAAGTTTATCCGTTACTTTTATCCAAAGAAAGATAAAAGCGATATCTTTGGGCCCCTCGATGGTTTAGTGATGACAAACGTAAATGCTCGGCCGGGCTAGGGCTAATTTGATTTGTTCAATTATTCTGTCGTCATAAATCAGAAATCAAGAAATAGTACAAAGAGAATGATTAGAAATCATCTCATATGATATCTAGAATGGAGGAATATATGATCCCTTATCTAAGGACACGCGTATCTGATAGGATCAGAGTTGACAGCGGCTTTGGAAAGCTACGATTGCAGATCAGGATCTGAAGTCATACGCATAATAGTTATTAGACTTATCCAAGTGGGAGACTGTTGGATTAGTGTGTAAGTCCATAACTATTTTGGTATGTACTTGACCCGATGGTGCATGGTCCTTTTGGGTTGCCTTTACCAAAGCAACTTGATTGGAGAAATATATAGAGAGAGAGGTATTATGATTTATTAATATGTTATAAGAATAATATATTAAAGGAGAAATCATATTTGTTTAATTAATATTGGTCAATAATTAATTGAGAATTAATTTTGTGATCAAGTGTAATTAATTAAACTAGAGGGGCTGATTTGTAATTATGTGATAGTTACAAAATAAGGTATGGATTATCTTATTATTAGGGTGAACGAATTTGATGTGATAAGGCCTTAGAATTCGACTATGATAAGGATTCAAAGATTATCTTATGGGTTGCTTTGTGGATAAGCATCTAGATAAGGATAATGATTGAAACCCTATCTAAACACCTATATAAACACCCCTTGGCACATGAATTCGGGTATCCCTTCCCAAGAAGTACTAAGGACGAATTCTAACCTCTCTCCTCTCTCTTTATATCTTCTTCATTTGCTCTTGGTGTTTGTAAGCCATTAGAGGAGTGACAATTGTGACTCTAAGCATTCCAAAGTCAATTCAAGGAGATTTAGGATTGTTATTGCTATATAACTATCAAGGTAACATTATAAACCTATTCTCAAGATAATATATTTATTTGAATGCTAGAATTAGGGTTTATAGTCTTGGATAACTAGCATGTACAATAGAGAAACCTAGATCCAAGCATTAGGGTTTGTATGAGCACATAGGATGTCTTATGACCAAAACCCATCAGTATTAGCTTAAATCATCCTAGGTTTTAAACCATACTTAGATACATGGTTATAAACATGCCTTTAAGGCTATAGAGGCACAATGCAACAAGGATTGCAATGTGATTTCACTTGTACTTGGTTAGGGTTTAGGCTTTGTTGGGTTTAAAATTTTCGGGTTGTTGCAGGAGTTACTAAGAATCTCATGAGTGGAGTGGAACTCACCATCTGAGATAGGAAATTTAAGATACATTTCAATGGTTGGAGTAGGAATGTTTAAGGCAAGATTTCTATCAGGGAGATCCAATGCGGTTAAACGAGTAGTATAAACAGTGACACCATCAGTGTTAGTAGTGTAGTTTTTATCAGTGAGAGAGTGATTTATAAAAGAATTGATAGCGAACATGGATTTAAAATCTTCCCTAAGATCGCTAAGAGAAAGACAATTAGGTTCAGTTTCAATTTGTTTATAAATATTCACTACCTTATCAATATTTCCACCAATGATTTTCTCACATTGATCAGGTATCTGGGCATTTATTATTTTATTTAGCTTATGGTGAGAATGAGCCCAATTATTTACAGTACCTTGTAACTTGTGTGCAACTCAGATTTATCCTTTTTGGTGTGAAGATCAACATTAGTAAGAGATAGATTAGTAACCTTATATTTGTTAAAGCAAGAGTTCACAATTTTAGTGACATTATTCATCAGTGTCTCAATTTCTATCCCCAATGAGTGTTTTTATTGGCTAACCTTTGAGTGATGAAGAAATAAGTAATCAAACATCATATACTTTTTGTTATCAGAATATGTGACAAATTTGTTTACTTGATACAAGGATGAGGAGTCCCAGTTCTGCAATTTTGAATCCTTAGCAGCTTTAGCTAGTTCGGCTTTAAAAGTGCTCGAACCACTGCTTCCTTCAATAGTGACAATTGTATCAATATGTGCCATACAACCTTTGTCCTTTTCTCCATCCTCATCAGATGAATTCTTCATCATTAA